GAAAGCATGTTCACACCCACCCTGGGCCTCTGAGCTACACTGGAAAGTCTCACGTTCCCTACCGCAGTGAGGAAAGTCATGGGGCCCTGCCTCACACAGAGACGTGTACAACCCACCTGAGTGGAGCGGGGCATCCCGCAGTGAGGGGTGCTGTGCGTACCTGTGGCTGCCTGTGGGCTTCTCTGCCTTCTCTCTGGGTCTTCCCATAGACTAAGAAGGAAGGGCTACCATGCTTGGCTTTTAATTTCTAGTATAAATTGGGGTCATTCTGTCATTCAACAAACATTCTATTACCATCCAAGCCAGATCTGTGCGCCTGTCCACAGGAGCCTGTATCCCAGAAGGAGGCTCATGGGATGGGACAGATGCTCAGGTGGGTGATTATTCTAATTTTATTTCTACTGTGATAAAAGTATGAAGACAATAAGCAGCGTAGGGGAGAAAGAGTTCCAGGTTGTAGCCCATCACCATGGGGAAATCAAGGCAGTAGGAGCTCAAACAGCATCACGTCACATCCAGTCAAGAGCAGAAAAAAATGTACAAATTCGTGCTTTACACTCAGCTAACTTTCTCTGCTCTCATCCAGTCTAGGGTGGCCTGCCAGGGGAATGGTGCTGCCCACAGTGGGCTGCATCTTCCCAATTAGTAAGTAAGGCAATCCCCCAGAGCCATGCCCACAGACAACCTGGTCTAGACAATCCCTCCTGGAGACTCTCTTCCCAACCGATTCTGAAGTGTGGCAAGTTGACAGTTAAACTAATCACAGTGACAGGATGTGGACCCAAGCCCTCAGAGGAGCAGGCTTCTTTGCTGGTGCTTCCCAGGTGGACAGAAGGAGGCAGGCACCCATTGTCTACCCACCCAAGCCCACCCTCCCCAAGGCCCTCCCACAAGGTAATGTCCTTGAAGTCTTCCCAAAGCCTGAGTAGTGAAATCCCAAGTTCCTCCTGGGTCCTAACTCTGAGGTGTCTGTTCCCCAACATACACACACACACAAATAAACACATATGCACACACACGTGTATACACACACCTCCAATCTCTCTGTTCTGGCCATGCCAGACAAGCCCAGCTTGTTCTCAGACAAGCTCAGCTACTTCCTGTGACCTTACTATTTTCTTTTTAAACCTGAGCACTCTTTAGCCTGAGTTTGGTATTTAGAGCATTGCCCAAAATTCCCTTCCTGAGCCTGCTTCCCTCTGGATCCCTGTCACCCTACCTTCTCTGAAGTATCACCCCCACACCCCGCCCCCTGCTCTCCCACATCCCTGTCAGCACGGGCAGTGCCGGAACTGAGTTTTACTTCCCTAGGCCTCTAGGAGAGGGCTATTTACTTGTTCCTGCAGGGTCCCAGGCCCAGAATGGCCTCTGACACGCAGCAGGGATTCAGTGTGAATATGCCAAATTAAAGTGACCGTTTAGGTCACAGAACAGGTATCAGAGCCCCCTTACCTGGGCCTCTCTTGTCTTTCTCTGCTACGGGCCCTGGGGCTTCACCTGGCTTTCTCCCTGCTTGCAGCCACCACCCTCTCCCCTCCCGTCTGCCTCTCTGTGTACACATACTTGCACATGCATGTAGACACACATGCTCACCCCTCAGCCCCAAGCAGACTTGGGCCAAGAGACTGCTAGGGTGTTGCTCCTGTCTTGCTGGGGGCAGCCTGTGCATGGATACCAGCTTCTAACAAAGTGAGCGGCCAAGCTCTCCTGAAGGAGGCAGGGGCTGCTCCTGACATCTGGGCCTGAGCCATCTGCATACCCAGTCTGCAGTCCCCGGGGACCACAAGCCCAACAGAGCTCCATAATGGAGTTCCAAGAAGGCTGCTGAGCCTCGTCCTGTGCGGGTAGGGAAAGCCTGGGTGGAGGCGCCCGGAGCCACAGTGTGCCTGGGACAGTTCCTCCCTGTGTCTGGCCCTTAGCAACCATGGGGAGTGACAGCAGGAGCCGTCCATCCCCAGTCCCCACTGTGATCACCTATACTAAAAAGTTTTCAGACAGACAGCAGGGACCAGGCCTGGGGGATTGGTTGTGGGAACAACAGCCTTGACCAGTCACCTATGGAGAGGGGTGTGGCGGTGAGGGTGGGCCCCGGGTGTAGAGGGTAGGAATGTGTAGTTTTCAGGGTAATTTGAGATGTACATGGGAGATGGGTAGTCAGTGCGTAAGAGTAGGCCTCGTGGGAGGGGTGGTAGACACCAGAACAGAATGCTTGGGGATGCCAGCTAAGGGCCTCGGTCCCATCTTTAGCACCACTTCAAGCCAGACAGACAGTGGAAGCGGAAGCAACAGGCCCAGCTAAGGCAGTAGAGAGTGGGAGGTTTGGGCCAAATAAGAGACTCTGCTGCTTTGTGCCAGGGTCCGAGGTCATTTGGGTCTGAGGTTCCAGTGCTAGAACCAACCTTGATGGCAGAGTTCAAATAGAAACCGTGTCCACCATAGCAGCCCAAACCGTGGCGGGAAGGGGAGTAAAGACTCACCATGCTACACACATAGTGTAGTTCAGGTGAGAGAACTCTCTGGAACATGTGGGCAAGGATAGCATGCAGATGCCCACCACAGGGGCTATAGAGAGAAAAGCCAGTTCTGACCACCCAGACAGCACCCTGCTGTCCCTAGAGGATATAGCTTAAATTTACCACTCACCCATAAGTGTCCTTGATAGAGGGCAGGGTTGCAGCCTGGAGGGTCCCGCTGGGGCCTCCTGATAAATACCCTCACCCAAGAAGTGGGAGGGAGGCCACACCAGAGTGGCGTGACGGAGGCCCTGGAGAAGTGAGCTATGTCCCTTATTGGTCACAGTACATTTATTTTTCATTAGCAGTTAAATGCAGACATGAGGGATTGTGCTGGGTTCAGCGGGCGGCTGACGTGAGTAGGACTTGCTGCGCTGATCGATCGAGAGGCGGGAGGCTTGTGCACCCACTCTCTGCCTCGTATCCCGCAGGGGGACCCGTGCCCATCCAGCTCTGAGCAGGAGACAGGCACCAGCTGTGATGCTGAGCCTCTGCCAGTGATGGGGGAGGCAGAGGCAGATCCAGACCTGCCCTGAAGAACTGCGGTGGCTCCTTACAGGGCCCTGCCTTGGGGCTGGCTTGGCCATTCGTGTGTGCTTTCCTGGGGACTGCTATGATGCTGTGGCTTGCCCATGTCTTGAGAAGCAGCCACGCCTACCAACATTCACCCTGTACCTACACTATAGAATTGCTTCCTGAATCACACCCCCTTCCAGTTCTCCTCTCCACTTGGAGACCTTGGAGGTCTGCATGAGCCCTAAGATGCATCAGAGAGCCAGACTCAAGCCCCTATTCCTGAGTGTGAAGGCTGTAGGTGGCGCTTAACAGCAGATAACTTGCTTAGCAATTTCCATGCCCCCTAGGTTCAATCCCCAACACACACACACACACACACACACACACACACACACACACACAATCTCATAGAGTAACACTCCCAAACATTTCCTGACTCCAGGGTCATAGCTGGGATTCTGTGATAAGAGACCACCTATCTGGGACCTCATATCTGGCAATGGAAGGTGTGGGTTTTCCTCCGTTCAAATCTTTCTCATTCCTAATCCTAACACAGACTCAACAGACAGTGGTCTGGGAAGGGCAGCTCCATTTCCACTGACTGCCTGTGCACTTGGCCTTCACTGCGGTCTTGCAGGAACATGCAGGGAGTGGCTATAGGAACAGGCATGGGAGGAAAAACAGGGTGGCAGCAGACTGGGCTGGGCGATTGAGGAGGGGAAGGAGGGGCAAAGGAGCACTGTGGGTGGCCTCTGCCTGCCTGAGGAGGTGGTTCAGAGCATCCAGTCTCACAAGGAACTTCCAGAATCTGCATCTCACAGGTGGAAAGCCAGTGACTTCACCTGACTTCCCAAAATCTCCAGTACCAGAGAGTGGCTGCACTTCTGGGGAGTTTCCCCACTTTTTATGCCTGGAGGCCCCTATTAGTTTGTGTGTTGGTGGAAAATTGCTAGCAGCTTTCAAGGCTGGTCAGGCCAGCTGAGGCCTGTTTGGGGAGCAGCATTCCCTACACCTTTGGGTGTCCTGCAGACAGAGGGGGTTTAACACCACTAAGGGACTCAGAGCCAATTACCCGTGTAATTAGTGACAGGTGACTCGTGGGACGGTTGTAGGTTTGGGTTCAAATCAGAAGAAAACCCATCTTCAGATCTCTTTGAACAGATGGGAAGTGGTTCAGGTCCCGGGACTTCCACGAGGACTCTCCTGGCATCCACTCTGCCATGTTACCCATCAGCCCTATCTCCCAGGCCTTAACCCAACTCTCCAGCCCGCCATAGTGTAGCTCTGCCCAGGACCCCTTGTTGCCCCTCAAAACTACATCCTGGATACCTTCCCCTGTCTTTCTCTGTTCACATTGTATTTTAATATCTTAAATGTCCAGGCCCTTCACAAGCTTCACCCAGATCAGGGGTCTCTCAACCCGTGGGCTCGAACCCCTTTCACAGGGGTCACCTAAGACCATCGGCAAACACAGATATTTAAGTTACAATTCCTAACAGCAGCAGAATTACAGTCACGAAGGAGCAACGGAAACCGGTTCTATGGTTATAGGGGTCACCACAACATAAGGAACTGGATTAAGGGGCTGCAGTGTTAGGAAGGTTGAGAATCACTGATCTGTTGGGACAAGCATCTGCTGGGCCAAATCTCAAAACTTTGCCTGGAAGACTATTGAGTTTCTATTACTGTCCTGAGTCCAAGGCCTCCAGAGAACTGATGCCTGCCTTGGCCTCACTGTGCCTCTGTACCTTCAGAAAGTCATGGGTCCTTTCTTATGCACATGAGGACACAGGCTCAGAAAGGCTGTCCAGTGGCTTGTTTGTCCAGCTGAGAAGCAGCTGAGCTATACCTGCTATTCCGTTGGTTCCATCCAAAGCTGGACTTTTGCTATACTTTTGCTATACTTTTGCCTGCTGCCTCCACCAGGCTCAGGGAAGACCTGGCTTATGTCTCCCCTACCTTCTCTTGCAGGTGCCCAGCAGAGTGCCACAGTGGCCAATCCAGTGCCTGGTGCCAACCCAGACCTGCTGCCCCACTTCCTGGTAGAGCCTGAAGATGTGTACATTGTCAAGAACAAGCCCGTGCTACTGGTGTGCAAGGCTGTGCCTGCCACCCAGATCTTCTTCAAGTGCAATGGCGAATGGGTCCGCCAGGTTGATCACGTCATCGAACGAAGCACTGACGGCAGCAGCGGTGAGTCTCAGGTGGGGTCTCAGGATGGAGGCAGCTGAGGGAAAAGTCTCAGCTGGCCCTAAGAGTCTGTGAGTGCCTGCAAGCAGCAAGACCAGGGTGCAACCACCTGCTGGCCAGTTGCCTTCGGTATCACCAGGCAAGGCAGAGTCCCCACATCTGGCACCCTATGAATATACAAAGGCCTTCTCTAGAAGATCCCCCAACATTAACACACACACACACACACTCATCCATTGAAGCACCCCAGGGTCTCTCAGGAAAAAAGTGGCAATGTAGTATTCATCTGAGTGTGAACAGGGCGGGGCGGCTTGGCCAGAGGCGCCTGCAGAGAAGCAGGGTGGAAGGGAGCGGGTTCCACGTAAGAACTCCTTCTCTGATTGTTTTCCCTTTTCTGTTCAAGCTTGCTTGCATTACATCACTTTCCCTCTGCTGGCCACACAGTCCCCCAAGAGTGGCAGGCATGGAGTGACTTCCTAGAAAGAGGGGAGCAGAGTTGAGGCTTCCTCGGGGCTCACAGACATTCTGGTCATGGCTCAGAAATGAAGGTGCATGAGGGATACCACTGACTTATGGGACTTCAGACCACAGGGTGATGTGACCAGAGCTATGAGTGACACACAGGTCAATGTGAAGGTTGACAAGAGAAGCAGACCCAAGAAGACTCAGTTGTAAGGGGCAGAGGGGTTCTAAGGGCATGGGATAAACCAAGAAGTACCCTCCTGTACCCTCACCAAATCTCCCCATTACCAGCCTTGGTCTCAGGCAACAGGTGACCGAGGGGCATTGGTAGAGCGTCCTGGATCGGTTTGCAGCACTTCCCAAAAGCAGGAGCACAGAGGCAGCTACTAACACACACAGAGCCTCTGGTTTAGTCCTATGCCTCTTTCCACCAAGACCTCAGCTAGCCTGAAACATAGCACATACCCTAGGGGACCGCCCACTGGGACATGTAGACCACCAGCACGAGGCGTGAGCCGCAGTGCCATCCAGCTGGGCAGACGGGTGGTACCAGAACCATACAGATGCTAAAGGAAGGCAAGAAAGGATCCAGAGAGGTGACCCAAAGTGTGGCCTGTGCCACAGAGAAGCAGGAATGGGTGGTGGCTGCCCAGGAAGGAGTCCAGAGGAGGGGGAGCAGCCAAGTTTTGACATACAAGTTTAGAAGGAGTATTTCCCCGTCTGAAGGGATGGGGTGAAAGGCAGGACACCAGCCCTTGAGGATGGCTCAGGGTTGGGTGGGAAAGTGAGGCTGGGTACAAGCAGATGTCAGGAAGACTGCAGTCAGGCTCATGCTGTGGGTGGATCACGCGGGGCAGATGGCGAGGCTGTGGTCTGGGAGAACAGTTGGAAGCACTCTCTATTGTGAATGCAAGCTGACGAGCCCCAGATTCCGATGGTGCTTTAGTCCTCACAAGCAGGCTGTTTTGCAGAGACGACAGAGGCCTTGACCCTGCCCTGTCCAGGACCCTCAAAGGGCTCCAATCAGGAGCCCACAGAGCAGACACCCATCCCCTGCCACCAGAGTTCACAGAGGCTGGATTTCTCCCCACCATGTGCCCCAGTCCACCAGCAGAAGCCCCAGAGACTGCTCCCCTGGCCTGTTGCCTGGCTGAGCCCCACACTCTGCACACACTCTGCAGTGTTCAGCTGTACCCACACCAGCTGCTTGCTGCTTCCTTCCTGCAAATCCTGAGCATTCAACGCACACCCTCTGTGCCAGGCACCAGCTAGGTGCTAAGGATTCGGCCAGGCCCAACAGCTCTCAGACTGCTGATCCAGCTCTGACTCCCGCAGGCAGGATGGAGCTAGGGGCGTAGCTCAGAAAAGTCCTCAAGAGTATCAGTGCCTTCCATGACCAAAGACTGTCAATGGCCTAATGACTGTTAGAACAGCTCCAGAGCCCATATTGTCTGGGCGTGAGAACTCCAGGCAACACAGCCCTCCCTGGCCCAGCTCAGTGTCTTTGTCTGTGAAATGGGAGTGCAGGGTCTTTGCAGGTTGATGGAGAAACCCTGTAACTGCATAGGGAGGGCACCATTTCCTGTGGCAGTGAGCCCTACTGCTGTCATGGCAAGTCCTCCACAGAAGGACTGAGCAGAAGGAAGCTGCAGTCTTCCTTCCTGTGGCTCTGAGGACCTGTCCGAGCCTCCTGATCTCAAACATTGTGCTGTTCCGAGGTCCTAAGTGCCAGACCCTTTCTGACAACGAAGCAGCCTTGCACCTTGGCAAAACACACATGCTGACAGTTCCCATTCTACACTCCTCCTGGCTCCCGTGGTTGTCCCTCCACATAAGCAGAGACACAGAATCATGAAGACATATCCCACATAGCTACCAGGTCCTTCTTTTGCCTTGAACTTCCAGTCTTGGGCCTTCCAGTGGCCAGCACATCAGAATTCACTGAGGTTTTCTCTCAGCTGGGGACCAGAGTGCTATCAGTTCAGAAGGAGGGCTTTCCTCACCTACACAGCGGCCGTGGCAGAAGCATCTGGCAGGTGCACAGACCCCGAACCAGTCTGGTCAGACGGGCGTGGCAGGGGTTAGGATTCGGTGCAGACCTGAGCCCCGTTTATTCATTTGTAAGGGCTAGGGTGGCAAAGGAGACTCTCACACGAGACAAATACCAATCATTTGCCTTTGCTTCCCATCCGGAAGGCCAAGGGAAGCCTGGAATCTGTAAAATGCAAGCGCTGGCCTCTGGGATGGGCTATAATTTATTGGGTTACACCACGTGCTTATTAGAGTCCGAGAGGAGAGCTCCATTCTGACTTCAGAGCACCCAGCCAATCCTCCACCTCCCATAAGCATTCAGCAAGCCTCACCGTGTTCCCACTGGTGGCCATCCTCACTCACACACATATGCTGCCCCTAGTCCAGCCACCCCAGCGTTCCTCCTTGCTCTCCACTGCTGGCAACTGCTCATATCTCCTTGTCAGGAGCTGATACTGTACGCCCCACTCAGAATCAGTTTCCAGAATCAGGCTCCTTAATGACCGGCTGGAGGGCAGGGCAGGGTCTAGACCCCACCTCTGCCCTCAGAGCTTGGGGAATCTCGGGGGTTTCCTCTGCAGAGGTGCTGCCTGAAGCCGGGTCCTTGTGGATAAACTCGGCCCCTGTGGAAGGGGAACTGAAGAACGAGTAAACAAAGGAAGAAAGTAGTTTAGCACCTGTTGCTCCCAAGCTGAGCCACCCTGGAATTGTGGGGTAACTAATTGCCGCTTGAGGGCCATAAACAGGCCTGTGCACCCAGAGGACACTTAGTTCCCAGGTCAGAATGTTCTGGAGGTTGTCCATCCCTGACCCTGGGACAGGAAGAAGGGAGAAGAGACCCTGCTCCACACATGGCTCTATCTCAGAGACGCTAATCATGTTTGAGCGTGCTTGACAGATAGCCGGTGCCCAGGGCTTTTCTCCTGCACCCAGGCCCTGTGAAGGGCACTTTGGCTCTTAGCCCCACCCAACCCCACATCCCAGAGAGAAGGAAGAGCAGGAGAGGATCCAGAGCAGAGGTGAATGGCCTAGTGGTCACCACGGCCAGAGGCACCCCTAGAAAAACACACCTGCGAGAACTAGCCAGGGGCCAGTCAGTACTATGGCTGGAGAGAGCCACAGGAGGGTCTGGGAAGGGGTCAGGGAGACATGTTAAAGAAATGAAGAAGGAAAACAGTCTCCCAGCCTGGCAGGCTCAGCTGGGCTCCCTGCTCCTGCAATGCAACCCTAATTGAATTTCTCTGTTAACAATGGAAACACATTGGCGGCTGGCCTCTCTCTCTCTTTCTGATAAGCCAGTGACCCAAGGGAAATTGGGGTCAGGAGGAGGAGAAATTGGAAACAAACAGTCTTTTCTCACTCCTGGGACAGTAGTTTTGGCTGCAGACCAGGGGTGGCAGGGGGCTTTGGGACAGAAGAGCATCCTCCCATGCCGGGTTGTCAGGGAGACCAGGGCCCCGCCCCCCAAGAACCCCAGAGTCTGGTTCTGGATGCTACAGAAGGAGAAGACCTGAGTGGGATGGGAGAGGGGTTTCTCCTGGCACACCCAGACCCTCCGGTGCCCTTTCCCCCCAACCCTTGCTTGTTGACCTCTTGTACCATCACCCCCAGAGGGTGAGCCCACTTAAGGCCACCCAGGTGAATCCAGTGTCCTCACACTGGATTCAGACCACCCTGGTGCTTGTGGCAAATCCCTACGTTCTTCTGCACCTGCTTCCTTATGCAGTGGAGCACCCCCACGGAGCACGGGGTAGGAACAGTTCCAGGGAAGGGTGAGATACCACCCTGGCATGTGGGAAACCCTGAGTCCCAGGAGTCTATTCCCATCCTGCCTAGCAGCTGTAATGCTAATAGCTGTTACATTATCACCTGTCAGATCTCCCTGCTAGCCCTCCAGGGAGGCGAGCAAACTTCCCTACCCTTCCTCCTCTACCTACAAAGAGCTCAGCCTGTCTGCTTCCTGCTTGCTTCCTCAACCCGTTACCCAAAGCTCCACTTTAAGTACTTTAGGGAACTTCCTACCAGTCACTCCCTTGAGACAGGCTTCAGGTGACAAAGTAGATCAAATGGAACTTTCTAGAACCCATACTGCTTAAGTCCAGGAGATATGTCAGCAGCATCCCCGGAGTTCCCTCCAGGCTGAGGGAGGCTCACAATGTCCACAAGCTGCTGTAGGTGGTGCGGGGCATCTTCCATCTGGGACAGGGAGACTCAGTGTAGCCCCTGAACCCAGCAGGATTGCCAACCATGGAGGTCCGGATCAACGTATCCAGGCAGCAGGTAGAGAAGGTGTTTGGGCTGGAGGAATACTGGTGCCAGTGTGTGGCGTGGAGCTCCTCGGGTACCACCAAAAGTCAGAAGGCCTACATCCGGATTGCCTGTGAGTACTGGACCAGGCCTGCATACAGGTGTGGTCACTAGAGGGTATCACCTGGAGAGGGGGTGGCAGGCTTCCTGGAGGTCACAGTCTTACCTTGATGGGTAGAGGAAGAACATTAGGTGCACTTAGCACCTCTTTCTGTCGATGTGTCCCAGTTTCTGCAGGGCTAAGAGTCAGCTGGGCTAATCCGGACACTTAAGGACACTGTTTTTCTTCCTCCAGATCTACGAAAGAACTTTGAGCAGGAGCCACTGGCCAAGGAAGTGTCACTGGAGCAAGGCATTGTGCTACCCTGTCGCCCCCCAGAAGGAATCCCCCCAGCTGAGGTGAGTGGAGGGTGAGGGGTTCCCAGATCTCTGATCCTGCCTAAAGCTCAGGCTCCTGGCTGCCACCTCACCAGTGGTCACTCTGTGCCCTGGTCCTACCAGCATGGGCCAGCCATGTAGTGTTATGGCTTCTCCCCCTAGGTGGAGTGGCTCCGAAATGAGGACCTCGTAGACCCCTCCCTAGACCCCAACGTGTACATCACACGGGAACACAGCCTAGTAGTGCGGCAGGCCCGCCTGGCCGACACTGCCAACTACACCTGCGTGGCCAAGAACATCGTGGCCCGTCGCCGAAGCGCCTCTGCGGCCGTCATTGTTTATGGTGGGTCCTGGGCTCCCCAGTCACAGGAAGAGGTACTGAGGTGCCGTGAGGGACGTGATGTGTGGCTCATAGAATGGAAAGGCACAGACGGGGCAAGAGCCAGGCTAACCAGACAGTGGCCTGACTAGGAAAGAAAGAAGAATATCTGGGCAAAGGGAGGGACATGTTGGTCACTTGTGAGTGGGAGCACGGTGCAAGAGATGAAGAGAAAAGAGGAGGCTCAGAGGGACACAAGACGTCATCCTTGGGCGTCTCAGTCCCCCAAATGGGAAGTAGAGCCTCAGAATGAGACGCTCCCCCAAGAGCAGGCAGAGGGAGGTTGGCCAGGGTTCCAGCTGGAGGTGTCCTGTGAACTGCAGTTTAGCCCGGCCGCCCTGACACTTGCCAAGAGTAGAGTATCTGAAGGCTTTGCCAGACCCTGGGGCCCAGCAGCCTAGGCTTGGCCCTCCTCCAGGTTTTTCCTGGACAGCAGCAGCCCGCTCACCCCCGGCTCCTAGGCCCTTTGCCCTCCTGCCCTATCCCTTGGACCAGCATGTCTGAGGAAACCCCCGCTCCCTGACCCCAGTCCTTCTCTGTCCGGCCAGTGAACGGTGGGTGGTCGACGTGGACTGAGTGGTCCGTCTGCAGCGCCAGCTGTGGGCGTGGCTGGCAGAAACGGAGCCGGAGCTGCACCAACCCGGCACCTCTCAACGGGGGCGCCTTCTGTGAGGGGCAGAATGTCCAGAAAACAGCCTGCGCCACTCTGTGCCCAGGTACCAGCGGCCACCGCCTCCTGCATCGTTCCTCACCACGCCATCTCCGTGGCCTGGCTCCATCGCACCCACCAGCCTGCCCCCCCATGGCTCCATCCCACCCGCCTGCCACGCAGGGCCAGGCTCAGTCTGAGGTGGGGATCAGGGTGCAGTGTGGTCAGAGTCAAGGGCTCGGTTTAGGGTCTAAGATGCAATTGAGGACAGGATCTAGGCTCAGCCTGGGGCTGCACGATCCACCTGTGCCTGGGACCAGAAGGGCCATCGTGTGACTAAGAGCCCTTACCACCTCAGGACCAGGACAGCCTCCCTGGGTGGAGAGAGCCGAGCAGCCCCTGGCATCATTGTGTCTCCCTGTCATTAGCATGTATCATCAAGGCTAGCTGGACACTCAATGTCCTACAGATCGGAGGGCCTGACCCTGGCATTGTACCCAAGCCCAGGCCAGCTTGCCCTGCCTGGTCCAGATGACTAGTGGGGCCACACAGGCAGGCCGCCCGGGCCAACTTCCTAAGCTGACTGTGCTGTTCGATGTCTACCTGTCTCTCTTATCCAGTGGATGGGAGCTGGAGTTCATGGAGTAAGTGGTCAGCCTGTGGGCTTGACTGCACCCACTGGCGGAGCCGTGAGTGCTCCGACCCAGCGCCCCGCAATGGAGGTGAGGACTGCCGGGGTGCTGACCTGGACACCCGCAACTGTACCAGTGACCTCTGTCTGCACAGTGAGTCTTCTCTGCCCTAGGGATCACTTCAGTTTGACTGTTGGCCCTATCCAGCCCTAGAGGCTGTGGTCAGGGCAGCCATTCTCCTGCCGTATAGACTGTGTCTCTCCAAAGCTTGCAACCACAGGGGTCCCTTTCATCTCTAGCACACTCTTCCCTGTGCTACACAGTGACACCTCCTTCCTCCTGAGACACGCACAGATGTGAACCTTGACTCCTGTACACCCATCTCCTCTCCCGCAGCCTTGAAATCATCCCGGCCCCCAAGCGCACGCAAAATCCTGTGGGGGTGCTGGGCTTGTGAGGCCTGTTAATTACAAGGCCATAACTAACAATTAAAGATCTCTGTTGGATTTTTTTTTTCCTCTAGACTACACCCTCCCCTATTCTTTCAATTAAAAACCTAATTATCTGTGTCAATTCCTTTCTGATGGACATTCCTTCCATTATGCAAAACTCTTAAAAATCGATAGCTCTTCCTCCAAGCAGCTGGTCCCCCACCCACCCGAGTTTCAGGCCTGGTGGTACCCACAAGGGCTCAAACTGACCTGGAAACACCTGAGGAACCGATTGCCCATGTGTCTGTCTATTTTCCATTTCTATAATGAAATAGCAAAAGAAATTTATTAGTTTTAGAGGATTCAAATTCCAAGTAGCATGATGCTGGCTCTGGCAAATGTGCTAGCACCCCAAGCCACATTGCTTGGTGGCAGTGGCACCATGTCAGTACTGTATACAAGAGAGAGATCACGTGTCAGGAAGAGAGAAAGACAGACACAGAGACAGGTAGACACAGAGAGATGGACAGCGCCCCACGGTCTAGAGAAGCACTCACAATGATGTAATGCCTTCCCATTGGGCCTCACATTTTTTTGTTTGTTTTGTTTTGTTTTGTTTTGTTTTGTTTTGTTTTGTTTTTCGAGACAGGGTTTCTCTGTGTAGCCCTGGCTGTCCTGGAACTCACTCTGTAAACCAGGCTGGCCTCAAACTCAGAAATCTGCCTGCCTCTGCCTCCCAAGTGCTGGGATTAAAGGCGTGTGCCACCACTGCCCAGCGGGCCTCACCTCTTAAAGGGTCCCACTGCTGCTCACACTGTCACAGTGGGGACCACGCCTGTCCTATATGAATCCTTAGGCAGGCATATGCAAACTATAGCGCCATACTTATGGTGCCCCAGGAGTTCACCTTGCACCAGCCACCCTGACCCCCAGCCTAGGAGCCAAGGATAAACCACTTCCCTTCCTCCACTCTCCTGGTAACCTCAGGCCAAATCTTATACCTGTGAGGGCATGACTTGTTCAGTCCCATGCAAGGTTGTGGCAGATATAGGACTAGAACGTACACACCAATACCGTGCTCCCTGCCACATGCCCAGTGCCCAGGGAGTGCTGAGATCCTATGCTCCTGGGGAATAAACCATGGGCCTCTCTTCTGAAGCCCCTTCATCCCTGCTATTCTCAAGGCCATGCTTACTCTTGCAGCTGCTTCTGGCCCTGAGGACGTGGCCCTCTACATCGGCCTTGTCGCCGTGGCCGTGTGCCTCATCTTGCTGCTGCTGGTCCTCGTCCTCATTTACTGCCGCAAAAAGGAAGGATTGGACTCAGATGTGGCCGACTCATCCATCCTCACCTCAGGCTTCCAGCCTGTCAGCATCAAGCCCAGCAAAGCAGGTGAGGTGGCACCCACCCCTGCTCTCCTGCTTGAGCCTCCAAGACAAGGGCTGTTGACGGGGATGGGGAGTCCCTATGACCCACCACCTGAATCTGTCTTTATCCTGTAGACAACCCCCATCTGCTCACCATCCAGCCAGACCTCAGCACCACCACTACCACCTACCAGGGCAGCCTGTGTCCCCGGCAGGATGGACCCAGCCCCAAGTTCCAGCTCTCTAATGGTCACCTGCTCAGCCCGCTGGGCAGTGGCCGCCATACGCTACACCACAGCTCACCCACCTCTGAGGCTGAGGATTTCGTCTCCCGCCTCTCCACCCAAAACTACTTTCGTTCCCTGCCCCGTGGTACCAGCAACATGGCCTATGGGACCTTCAACTTCCTCGGGGGCCGGCTGATGATCCCTAACACAGGTAGGACCCTATAGCCCCCCCACCCCCAGAAAGCATGAAAGATAAGGCTAGTCTCTCTCATCATCTTTCCGGAGGCCAGAGCAGCCCAGATGTGCCGGGGTGCACCAGCCTCCTGCAGGGTGGCCCAGATTGGCCAGGATAGGAAAGAATGCAGTTGGAGCTACAGTGAAGCCGTGGATGAGCATCTCCTTGATGCTTGTGGACACGAACGTATTGTCTGTTCATTTATCACGTCATCAGCCTTACATGTGATAGGCTCTGCGTCGAGCCCTAGGCTCAGGGGTAGGGCAAACACCCGACCCAAGAGGTTCACAAAGCCAGACAGCAGAGCACCCCTTAGGACCCACCACAGCATCCGGATCTCATCCACCATTCTACAGAAGTGCCTCAGACAGGGCCCCTGAGACCTCTTGTTAGAGTACCCACAGACGCTCCTAAGGTCATCTTTGGAGACACCTCTGCAACCTCTGACAAGACTGACCACCCCACCCTGAAATTCTCTGTTCCCTCTCCTTAGGTGCCCCTCTCTGGCTGTTCCAGGCTGTTCTCAGGGAGCCCCCCTTCCCCATGCCATTTCTCTCTGAGTGATCTCACCTACTCCTCCGTCCCAGCCCCCGTTCTCCCAGGCATTCGAACTCTGCATTCAGCCGCCTCTTGGGCAGCTCCATCTGGATGTCTCACAACACCTCAGAGTCTTTGTGCCTAAAACAGAACCGTCTCCCACCCTTTCCCACAGCCACCTCCTCTGTGGCTTTCCCCAGCTCACAGTTAGCACAGTGTAGTTGCTTAAACGAGAAACCGGCTGGGGGTCACCTTGGGCTCCTGCTTTTCTATCCGCCCCCCGCCCCGCTACAAGTCAGCTATAGTCACATGATGTTATGTGCCCCCCCTTCCCAATAGCTCCTGCCTCCTCCTGCTCATCCTGCCCTGATACGTCACCACACCCAGGCTAGCACATCTCTTACCTCAGCCCCGGTTCCTGCACATTCACTGAATGAATCTAGAGTTGATTATGCCCCCCCACCCCATTCAATTCCTTCTAAGGTTCCCAGGTGCCCTCTACAAAGCCCTGGTGACAAGGCTAATATAACTCACCCCCTGACGGCTAGCTGCTGTGTGCTTTTTCTTCCTATATGCACTTCTGTATGTAACAGCCACAATAAACCCTTGCACCTGAACACACGGCACTGTCCCTGACTCATAAGAGTCTCTCTACCTTTTCTCCTGGCTCATCTGTTGTTGCTGTCTGTGCCTCATACATCCTTCAGGACAGGGTATGAGAAATCCTCATAGCTCAGTGAGGTGAGTTGGTCCCCATCAGCTGTGACAAAAAGGCAGACAGTGGGTACTCGAGGCCCCTGCAGTGCGGGCAGCTTCCTGTTCTCCCTCCACACCCCACCCCTCTCTATTGTTTAGTCAGCTCTCTCCTTACAGAACTGAGAGAGCTAGACTTTTTTTTTCTCTCAGCTTTCTGAGTGCCCAGCGGGAGTATTCAATTTTGAATACTCCCCTCCAGCAGGCATTCACACCAGGAGGTGTGTGACTGTCCCCAACGCCAGCAGCATCAGGTTCTACTGGTCAGCATAGGTTAGTGAAGGAAGCAAGAGTTGCAGGCACACAGTCACTAGGTTCTCTCTTCTGGGTTTCAGCTGTCTGTGAGACAGTCACACATCACTCGATGGTAAGACACAAACAGGTTAACATCCTAGAGCACACTTACGCCACTCAGCAGCTCCAGTGTCGGGAGGGCGTATAATCCTATGGAACCGGCACTATATATTTGTAGACTGTAGTGTCCTTACATAGCACTTGAATAGCCTGAGAGTCCAGCCCAGTATACCCTGGAACTACATCTGTCTGCTTGAGGGATAAAGTCGTCTTTCCCTGTGTGAGCTGAGAGGCCCTTCCTGATATGGGGGCTTCCTTCCTCAGAGCAGAGCCCCAACGCTGCTCTCTGTGATTTCTCAGCCCTGTCTTTGCTGTTTCCACCACAGAACTCCCCTTCCCTACACACTGACACCACTCCTGGGGCAGAGGCACATCAACAGAACAGCAGGACACTGGAGCCATAGATCTTGGCCCTTGAAACCTGTTAGAGACCCGTGCCCACCAGCAAGGATGGAAATAGTGACAGGAAAGGACCAGTTCTTAGAGGGTACAAGACTAAGAGAGGAGGAGCTTGAGCATGGCCGGAGGACCCTGTTCCAGATCGCTGAATGTAGCACCCCCAGGGTGACAAGTCAAGGGCCTTACATGGTGGGCCTGGAAGAGGGGGAAGGTCTTAAGCAGAAAGTGCCCTGGTCCCAAATAACGTAACAGGAGGTAGAACGAGCATCCTTGACATCTTCTGCCCTACTTATGCTTCTAGCTGGGTTACCTCAGATGTTCTTGGAGTCTCCCTGACTCAGAGTCGTGCCTATGTGGGTGGTGGGACAGTATGGCAGTCCTTGAAGCACCCCTGTCCCCAGACAAGGGTGGCTGAAGAGGAAACTCATGGGTCTGGCTAGTTCCTGTGGTATTGGGTATCTGGAACAATAAGAAGTGACCCCTGTGCTCTTATAGGAGTCAGCCTCCTCATCCCCCCGGACGCCATCCCCCGAGGAAAGATCTACGAGATCTACCTCACGCTGCACAAACCAGAAGACGTGAGGTGTGTGCCCTGCCCTTCTGGGGCGGGGCGGGGGGAGCGGGAGGGTATGCCTGCCACTTCTATCAATGGAACACCCCCCTACCCCTGCCCAGCACTGCTGGGCCTGTTCTGACATGGCCTAAGGGAGCACAGGGGATGAGGCACATTGAAGTTCACCCTGCTTTGCAGTGCCAACCACCCTACACATAATCTGTCTCCTAACCCCGAGGTCTCTAGGACTGGCCACTGACGCCTTTCCCTCTCTGCCCATGTTTCCCCACTTGAGGTTGCCCCTAGCTGGCTGTCAGACCCTGCTGAGTCCTATCGTTAGCTGTGGGCCCCCAGGAGTCCTGCTCACCCGACCGGTCATCCTGGCCATGGATCACTGCGGAGAGCCCAGTCCCGACAGCTGGAGCCTGCGCCTCAAAAAGCAGTCCTGCGAGGGCAGTTGGGAGGTAAGTAGGGGAAGAGCATCTGAGGCCACCCAGCCAAAACACCGGCTCCACAGTGCGCATAGCCTCCCATTCCTTTGGCCTTGGCCTTCGGTGGCTATGTGGTCCCGAATCTCCCCAAACTGAGCTGAGGGTGGCCTGGAGACTCCGAGGACTCCTAAGTTGGTTAGTAACTGACCCATGAGGCCCCGCCCACAGGACGTGCTGCACCTTGGTGAGGAGTCACCCTCGCACCTCTACTACTGCCAGCTGGAGGCCGGGGCCTGCTACGTCTTCACCGAGCAGCTTGGCCGCTTTGCCCTGGTGGGAGAGGCCCTCAGCGTGGCTGCCACCAAGCGCCTCAGGCTTCTTCTGTTTGCTCCTGTGGCCTGCACATCCCTCGAGTACAATATCCGAGTGTACTGCCTGCACGACACCCACGATGCTCTCAAGGTACTCCCACACACGATCCTGTTAGTGGACCTCCCTGCCCTCAGCATCCAACTGCCTTGTCTTGGGGGCCACAGGGAGGGTTACTCCTACCGTCGGGCCTCGCTGACCACCCTGGGCACTGCAGGAGGTGGTGCAGCTGGAGAAGCAGCTGGGCGGACAGCTGATCCAGGAGCCTCGTGTCCTGCACTTCAAAGACAGTTACCACAACCTACGTCTATCCATTCACGACGTGCCCAGCTCCCTGTGGAAGAGCAAACTCCTTGTCAGCTACCAGGTGAGACCTGAGCCCACGACCAGAGCTCCAGGGGCTTGTGCTGGGGCACACTCAATGCCTCCTCTTTGTCCCTCCCTACAGGAGATCCCTTTTTACCACATCTGGAATGGCACTCAGCAGTATCTGCACTGTACCTTCACCCTGGAGCGTGTCAGCGCCAGCACCAGTGACCTGGCCTGCAAGGTGTGGGTGTGGCAGGTGGAGGGAGATGGGCAGAGCTTCAGCATCAACTTTAACATCACCAAGGTAGGCAAGAAGGCGGCGTGCCCCCTGTACCAACTGTCCCAGACAGGCTCCACCCCTGGGCGGAGCCGCCTGCTAGCATCCCAGACAGGCTCCACCCCCCGGGCGGAGCCGCCCGTCAGCCACCACCCTTCCTGGTGCTACCCTTCTAGCTTCTTCCAAGTCTCTGGGGACAGAGGTGCAAGTGCTCTGTGGGGAGCAGGAGGAGGTAGTGTTGCCCTGGGGGCTCTGGAGCGCTTCCCCAAAGAAAGACTTTGCACTGGACCCTAAAGTATAAGCAGAGACAGGAATCTGACAGACAGCGGGGTGGGGGAGGGCATCTTGGGCAGCAGGCGCTAGGGTGAGAGCAGTGGACGTGGATGGTCAGCAGGGCAACAGCGTTGGGAGCAGGAAGGCTTTCTCTATCACCGACTGTGGCCACTACGTCTAAGACCCAAAGATTAGGGCCCTGGTGCATAAGGGAGAGGATACCCAATGCTCCTGCTGTCCCCATCGTCTGAGCTTGTCTGGAAACTCCCTCGGCCAGAGTTCTAACTGGTACCTGTTGCATATGTCCCGTCAAACAGGACACGAGATTTGCTGAACTGCTGGCCCTGGAGAGTGAAGGGGGGGTCCCAGCCCTGGTGGGCCCCAGTGCCTTCAAGATCCCCTTCCTCATTCGGCAAAAGATCATTACCAGCCTGGACCCACCCTGCAGCCGGGGCGCCGACTGGAGAACTCTAGCCCAGAAACTTCACCTGGACAGGTGGGTGGAGTTAGGCAGACGGAGGCTGGTCAGGCAAGTGAGGCAGACCGGAAGGAGGCTTACAGGCTCTGTGCCACAGCCTCTCGTGGTGTATTCGAGGGCAGCCTGGAGCGAGGCCAGACTACTGACAGACTGCCTCTTCTTTGCAGCCATCTTAGCTTCTTCGCCTCCAAGGCCAGCCCTACAGCCATGATCCTCAACCTATGGGAGGCGCGGCACTTCCCCAACGGCAACCTCGGCCAGCTGGCCGCGGCCGTGGCCGGACTGGGCCAGCCGGATGCTGGCCTCTTCACGGTGTCAGAGGCCGAGTGCTGAGACCAGCCAGGCCAGTAATGCCTACACTCTCACCAGCTTTGGCACCTGCCAGGGACAGGCAAAAAGCCAGACAGGGGCCCTTCCCCCACACCGGGGGAGAGCTGCTTGGACAGGCCCCCTCCTGGCTGAAGTTGTCCCTTGATGCTGGTCCTTCAGACCCTGCTCAAACTCCATCCCTCCATGGCCTGCCTGGCCAGGTTGGTATAGCCACCTGTTTTCACTCTGCCCTGGTCCCAGGGCCCAGAGTGGACAGTGCCTGGAGCCTGGGCTGAGCCCAGCCCGTCTGTGTGCGTGTGTATATGTGTGTGATGCTACCTCTCGTCCTGTCCCTTGCCAGGGGCCCCGCATACACACGGCATGCGCACACATGCTGGGCTTGGGACACGGCCCCCAGAGCTCCTGCCTGAGGTGGGCCTTATGCAAACATTCCTGTGCCTGCTGGGTAGGGGTAGAGTTGAGGGGCCTGGCTTCAAGCCTGGGGGACTAAGGGTCCCAGCTGGACAGGGGCTGGCCCTTGGATTCAGGCACACGATCACCACACAGGCGTGTGTTCATGCATGCCTCGTGTGCTCATCTCACACACGCCCCTCTCCCAGGTCACGCAGGACCCTCCCCCACTACACACATCTCATGCTGTGCACCTGGAGGCTGCTCACGTCTCTCACACCCGGTGTCGGTACACATCTGCCTCTCACATGCTGCCCTTCTCCCACCCACCCAGGGACACCCAACGGCTCCTCCCTGATCCTTTCCCTGTACCCCGGCCTCGAGGTGCCCTGCCCAGCGGGGCGTGTGAATATGCAATGGGAGTCCCGGGCTGTACAATGGCAAGTGTGTGTGCCGTGGCACGCCCATTCCTGGGGCTGGCCAATGCCCCCGTGTGGGCCCTGTTGTGTGAAGCTTGTGTCCTGACTCTGTCTTAAGTGCATTCCTGCACTTACACTTGGCCTTATGTACACAGCCTTGCCCGGCTGCCGGGGCACGTAGGGATTTTAGCGGACGTGAATGTAAATAAATTATATATATATATTGCTAACCAGAGTGTCACTTCTCTCAGAAAGCCACTGGGTGTGGGCAGACGGTTATAAGGGGGGCACTCATGGGTTTCTTTGGGAGTTGTGGGGGGCTGGGCCTGCCAGAGGATCAGGGTAGACTGAAGCCTTAGTCCAGCGTGATTCCATCACTCTTGGAGATTTCCTCAGATGTGGGCCATCTGGGTAAGGCGACAAGCAACAGCAGTGACCAAGGCTGCACCTTTGCCAGACCCATCCTCTGATTGCAAAAAGGTGACGGTGCACTGAGGGGCTAGCTTCCGGACTGTCGCCGACACTAGCCTGGAGAAGCTGTGAGGGAAGGGGCTGAGGTGAGCCCAGCCCAGCTCGTCTGGCCGTGCCTCCCTCCCATCCTGACCAACCTTCCCAGACTCACTGGGGGTGTAGCTTATAGAGCGTCCCATCAACTCCCACAGACACCGTCAGCTCCCGCAGGCCCCGGTTCTCCCGAATCTTTTCCACCACGGCAGCTACACCTGCCCCACAGAGATGGGCAGCCCTGCGAGACACAGCCTGGCACACCTCTAGGACCATCAAGGCATCATCGGATGTCAGAGTCAGCCCCAGATCCTCCAGGATGGCTCGGACCTGACGCAGGGCCAGGCTGTCACTGGGGGGTCAGGAAGGAAGAGAATAGAGAATTAGCTCCCTCCCTCCCTCTCTCTCTCAAGGTTTCCCCCACTTCATCCTCCAGAATGGTCCAGAGTGGAGGGAACCAGCAGTATCCAGCATCCTCCCTCGGCAACAAACTGCCTTGCAACGCAGGTACCTTTCAATCTCAGAGAGAAACTTAGTCTTAAAGATGTCCCTGGTCTGAAGGCATTGAGTCTTCTGGCCCCGGAACAGAACTCCGAGATTGGTTAACTGCAGGAGGATATGGCGGACGATCTCTCCTAGGTACATGCCACTGATCATCTTCTCAAACCTGTGGGAAGGCAGGCGCATGCAGGCCCATGCAACAGAGGACCCCATTAGCTTTTCTCTGCAGCCCAGTCCACCCCCACCCCCACTGCCTGGGCCTAAGCCGTACCTCTGTTTGCCTGGATTGATGGATGCCTGGTCCACACTCGCATCAAAGCAGGTGCTGAGCATGCTCAGTGAGCCGTCATCCCCAAAGGCGCCCCACTCCATGTTGATGCACATGCGACCCGAGTCCCCAGGCACACTTGCCACATTCCGGAGCTCTTCCATATAGCAGGCGTTGGTGCCGGTTCCTGTAGACAGGGCAGGCCAAGGGATGAGGGCTGGTTACCGACGCAGACAAGGCCCTTAGGGGTCATTCCCACGCCAGAACAACAAAATTTGGACTCCTTCTCTTATCTCCCCACGTTGAAAACCAGTCCCTGCTCCTGGTCTCCCTTTCTGACATTGTCAGTACCAAAGCCTCAGAACTTCCTCTGCCCTCCCTATCAGAGCCAACATTAGCGTGTCTCCCACGCTATCTAAAAGGGCTCCTGTGCTGCCGTCGACCAGGTCATCCTTGGGGGAAAGCCTTGGCTCTACTCTGATGCTGATAAGATACTGACGTTTCCTGATTGCTAAACATGCCTTTAATTGAAATAACAGGAGTGGGCCAGGAGCTGGGGAGACAGAACACTGACACAAGGGCACCCCCCCCACACGGTCTGGTCAGAAGTTAGGCATTAGATGGCTCTCTCTGACAGTACTTCCACAGGTTCTCATAGAAACAAAAACAAGAGCATCGTGGGCGCACTGGGACACAGGAGGCTTTTGCCTACGAGACTTGGAAAAGCTACACAGAGGAAGTGATATACGAGAAGCAGAGAGGAAGAGACATTCCCTCTTCTCTGCACGTTTCCAGCTCTGAGTCATGAGCCCCTTGATAGCCCCACCTGGGATTTCTCTAGTAGTTTACACCTCTCCTAAGCACCTACTATCGTCAGAGCCTGTGTTCAAAAGTCTCTCATCCGTGACAGGCCACCAAGCGCTCTAAAACAAGCTTTCTTCAAAGCTCCATCTCCCACTTGTTCGGGACTAATTCCTGTCTGATCTTAGCCTGTCTGCCCTTGTGTGTGCAGTCAGAGTTAGCTGTAAGTTGCCACAGGCTGTTCCGGGCTTAATCCCCTCTGGATGCTCAGTTCTGAGATGATAGAGTTCCTTTTCTTTTCTGTTTCTTCTAGCCCCTTTATCCAGACACCAGAGAGCCCCAGGGTAAGAGCTTATCAATGTCTTGGACTCTTGACATCTGACCAGCCATGCCCTCCCATTTCAAACACTGAGTAGACACCATGACCCAGGCAGTGTACTATGCCTGGGCCCCTTCTCATTCTGTTCTCTTAACCTCTTGACCTAGGCATTGCCTTGTCACACCTTAAAGTGAAGGATCAGACTCTATTGAGTTACCCAAGGTCAGATAGATGGAAGCAGCACAACCGGTCTCAGAGAGATGCATTTACCAAATGGGCAAACTGAGGCTGGGAAAGATCCAATGACTGAATAGCTAAATTACACTAAATGTCCCAGTTCCAGACTCCTAGCTCAGTACAATAGCCCAGAACTCAATTGGGTCATACGGAAATAATCCCATATTCCCAAGGTCAGAGAAAGGTCCAACCTAAGGAATTAACAAAAGGCAATGAATTATCAGACACCAGGAGCACAGAGGGCAAGACCCTCCTTACCGACAATGAGGCCCATCTCACAACGGGGATCATCATAGCCACAGGACATCATGGTCCCCACCGTGTCATTGACAATGGCAACCACATTCAGCTCCACTGCCTGCATGCAAACGGATGCTGCTAGTTGCTGGGCAACATAGTTGTCATGGCAACCAGCACTGGACTCAGAGGTCTCTATTATAGAGGGCCCCTTTGCTCCCCTCAAGAAAGAGAATGATACTTTGCTCCCCTCCAGGCCTGTCACAGCCGCAAAAGAACCCTGGAGGTAGACTCCTACCTGTCTGCGCCTAATGGCTTCCCGTAATAGATACACAACATCTTGGCCCTCACAGCCTGATGCATTGAACCCTTTAGTCCAGTTCAGGAGGATGCCCTGGGATGGGATTAAGAAGACAGAAATGTCACTCTGCCTCCCAAACCCTGTATCCCATCAGAAGCACACTGTCTCTGCCCTTCCCATGCAGGATTCTGTGCCCACTCTACCCTATGGTTGAAGGCCTTGCCCTCAACCAGTCTTAAGTCCCTGGGAAGCTTTCAGTGTGAAGAAACCTATTAATAACGATTCGACCTACGTCTTCCATTATTAGTTCTAGAATGCTCAGGTGGTCTGAGGGTCTGGCTATTTTAAGATGTTTGCCCAAAAGGAAGGGCCCTTTGTAATTGGGTGGGAATGAACAGAGCTGGTGGAGTGGGTGCTGCGTGTGGGAAAGAGGAAGATGAGAAACTTTAGGGACTCAAATGTCAGCAGAGCCCACCCTTTCAAAGAAAAAGAGTCACTTGGAAGGGAGGGAGGGAGAGAGGGGTCCTCAGAGTTAGGCACATCCATTTCAGTGTGACATTCCATCATTGTCCCAGGAAGGCAAAGGGTGAGTTACAAAGCCAGAGACCTTGGCAGGATGGGACGGGATGGGACAGACAGATCTTTATTGTGAGCACCTGGACTCAGCAGCAAAGGGCAGGACTGTACCTGGAAAGGGGCTGCACTGTTTCTTTGTGTATTTCTGAGGGAAAGGGTAGAAGAGTGAGAATTAACCCCAGCCATCCAAGGTAAGGACCTCCCACACAAATGTCCAAGGACTCAACTACAGCCCCAGCAAGAATATGGGCTTAACACACAAGTTATATTCAGTTACAAAAAAAAAAAAAAGAAGGGACAATTAGGCCAGTTTTGCATGGCCAGATTTGTACACTGAGACATGCTTCTCGTGTCTTGTGAAGAACAGTTAACAGGAGTGAACATGCTTTACCTGGAGCCAAACAGACTAGAGGAGAGAGGAAATGCAGCAGCACCGTCCAGACCAGGGTGTGAAAGACAGCAGAGAAAGCAGCTGTGGCCCATAGAAGTCAAGACAGGAGCACAGGGTGAAAATGACACATGCAGGCTGGTGGGTAGGTACAGATTGTGGTGGCCATAAGACAGCCAAGCAGAGAGCAGAGGTCTTCAAGGGCACCAGGCAGGCTCCTCAGCATGAGGTGCTTCCGAACAAACAAGGGATGTTGAGTTTCCTGGGAGCTTGGACAAGAGGCCTAAGATTGCCTCTATCCTAGTCCTATGCCGGACTTCGGGGGCATGCACTGAGAAGTCTGCTATACATGTTGAAGGACATGATGTGTCTTGAGTAGGTTTGACCTATGACCTATCACTCTGCTACCTAGATAAGGCACACAGCACTGTGTCTAGCTAAGAAAGAGACACGCAAAGGAGCATGTGACCTCAAGCCTCTTCTGGAGAAAAGAACAAACGCTGCTCCCTGAAGGCTGAACACCATGGCGGAACACCAGAGGCATGGCGGAAGTAGGCAATGTAGCTTCTGGTCAGCACCAACCTAGGCCAGTGCTGCTCTCAAATGTCTCCTACCCAGACATTGGCATAGCATCTTTGGGGATTGCCAGGACTGCATACAGTCTGGGTCAACAATGCTGCTCCCCCTTAGTCAGACTTCTCCTTGGCTTCCTGCCCACTTTTCCTTTTTTTTGGTTTTTTGAGACAGAGTTCTCTGTGTAGCCCTGGCTGTCCTAGAACTCACTCTGTAGACCAGGCTGGCCTCGAACTCAGAAATCCACCTGCCTCTGCCTCCCAAGTGCTGGGATTAAAGGCTTGCGCCACCACTGCCTGGCTTCCTGCCCACTCTTAAAGGGTACGTGGATTGGAGGCCCTTGGGAACCACTTCTTAAACTTAATTCTCTTACCTGGTCCAGGCCAAGCTGCTTGCATGGGAAAGAGAAGGTGAAACCCAGGGGTAGGCTCTGTCCGCTAAGGCCCTGCCTCTTCTGGAAGTCCACAATACAATCCACAATATGATCAAAGAGCTGCGGGAGAGGGCACGTCAGGGGTGGGCTCTCTCCCGCCTTCTCTACCTCTGATGTCGAGACCCGAACCGTGAGTACCTTCTGTCCAGAGCCCTGGGCTATACACTCAGGAATAGAGTAGATCTGGTTGATGATCCGCACACTGCCCTCGGCTACACGCACCAACAGGACTCGGAAGTTGGTGCCCCCTAGGTCCAAGGCCAGGAAATCACCTCGCTCTGTGGGACAGAGACACTCACTCCATACCAGGAGGAAAATGGCAGCCCCAGCCCTAGCACACACACTGTGACTTACAGGAGCCCACATCTCAGACCCATACTCAGGCCAGGTGCTCACCGCTGCCATCCGGTGTTGCTCGAACGTAAGTGGGCAGCATTCGGAGGGAGGAGGCATCTCCTTGAAGCCCCCTGATCATGGCTTCTCGCATTTGTGCCTGCACCACTGTCAGCTGCTCCAAGGTCAGCTGAAATGGTGCCAGGGTCTCTTCCAGGATGCGCCTGTGGGCAGCCAGGCGGGCAGCCACAGCTGTCACCATTGCCACACCCTGGCCACCACCATCCACAGAGCGGATGAAGGAGACGTCACATTCTGGGGCCAAGAGCTTTACTGTCTCCTTAAGGATGCAGAGGAACCTACGAAAACACACCAGGTTTGTTCAGCTTGGCATCTGAGCCCTATTTAAAATTTATCATTTTAAATTTTATTTTTCATTGGTTATTTTATTTATTTACATTCCAAATGTTGTCCCCCTTCCCGATTTCCCCTCCACAAACCTCCATCCCATCCCCCCCCACCTCTGTGAAGGTGCTCCCCCACCCACCCACTCCCTCCTCCCTGCCCTAGCATCCTCCTACACTGGGGCATCAAGTCTCTACAGGACCAAGGGCCTCCCCTCCCAAAGATGCCAGACAAGGCCATCCTCTGCTACATATGCAGCTGGAGCCATGGGTTTTAATAGAATTTTGTTTTATTAAAATTTTTTTTTAAAGATTTATTTATTTTATTTATGAGTACACTGTAGCTGTCTTCAGACACACCTGAAGAGGGCATCAAATCTCATTACAGATGGTTGTGAGCCACCATGTGGTTGCTGGGATTTGAACTCAGGACCTCTGGAAGAGCAGTCAGTGCTCTTAACCACTGAGCCATCTCTCCAGCCCCCTATTAAAAATTTTTAATAAAACAAATTAGTCCTAAACCTGTTCCTTGGTACCTACTATATATCCACTGCCCTGCCTGCCACTCTCCCTGGAACACATTAAAAAAAAAAAAAGAAGAAGAAGAAGCGTTTTTCTCTTTTTGACATGCCTCCTGGCATCCCACAACCCAGGCTAATTCTTAGTCTGCCATTCACACCCACAAGCTCGCACTTGGGGTACCAGAATGGCCTCTGGCTGTATATCATAAAAGCACACACACCCATGCTCCCTGCTCACACAGGATCCTAGCCTCAGAATACCTGGGGTGTTGGTCAAACACTCGTCCTCCAGTGGCCACGGCCACACGCAGTGTCTGCTGCTCCCTGCTGCGCTGGAGGCGGGATAGAACTGCAGCCAGGGCAGCCGCACAGAGCTGGGCAGCCCGCGTGCACACAGCCACGCACACACACTGCACGAGTTCACCATCTGAGACCTGCAGGCTCAGACCCAAGGCCTGCAGGATTGTGTGGACGTGGGCTGTCCCAGTGGCCGGGCTGCAGGGAGAAGGGTGAAGACACATCGGGGTGCTGATCTGGGGCGTAGGGAACCTAGTAGCTCCCCATCCCACCAAAGCCTCACAGCTACCTTGGAGAGAGAGTGCCTTAGCCTCTTCCAAGCAGACCCCCCTTGCCCCTTGTCTAAGCTGCAAGCCTCCCTTACGTACTCCTCCATTTCAGCCACGTGTTCCAAGAGGATGCTGCCTTGACTCAGCAACGCAGGAGAGGTGCAGCCACCAAAGAGGACCCCATGCTGGGACAAGTGGACCAGCACCAGCCGTACCAGCTCACCCAAGTAAAGGCCTCCAATCATCTTCTCGAACCTACATGTGGAAAGAGTGACTAGACAGAGCCCTTCTTGAGCCCCCAGCCCACCTGAACCCTCAAAGAGAAATCATTTTCTCTGAGGTTCCAGACTGAGGGGGCCTCCAGAAGATGACCTCCCAGAGAATGAGTGGGTTTACCCTTTCTAACCCTTTGGGTTACATCCGGGGACCTCTTAAAAAGGCAAGAGGAGCCAGGAAAGTAGGTAGACATTTTACTCAGCTGCTCCCAGCTCCCAACCCCCAACCCACCAGGGCTGACTTGAAGGATCAAAGATTGAAAACTCAGGGTTCTAGACTCTGAGGCCTTTTTTTTCTAAGTCTGACCTAGGAGAACCCCCTACCCCAAAAGGCAAGCTCAGAGGGATAAGAAGAGGTAGGGGCCCAAGAGCAGAAGAGGTAGGTTAGAACAGTAATATGACAGCCTAAAGCAGAGTCAGGCAAACCACTGCTGGGCCACCACCTCTGAGCACCAGGAATCAGGGACTCATGGTCCAGGGCATAGTCGAAGGTGGTCAGTACTGGCCCTAGGGCCTCTTCATCATAGAAGGAGCCCCACTCGATGCTGACACAGGTGCGCCCACGGTCTTCATCCAGAGCGGCCACGTGCCGCGCTTCCTCCATGTAACAAGCATTGGTACCAGTGTCTGGCGGGAAGGACCCCATCAGAGCCTGCCCGCCGAGCAGCTCCCGCCCTCCATTCCAAACGGCCCCTGGCTCACCTACAATAAGCCCAACTTCACACGGTCTGGCGCCCAGCTCACAGCCCATCATGGTGCCCACTGTGTCATTCACCATGGCTACCACATCAATACTGTAGGTCTGGGCAATGGAGAGAACAGGGAATCAGAGCCCGTCCCATGCTCTGGGCTCTCCTTCCATCCCCTCCCCCAACTCAGGCTCTCAGGGTTATGGAGAGTTCCTACCCACAGGACCAGGAAGAAGGGCCCATGGATGAGCACCTCACCTACACCCTGGCCTGGCATCCCAAAACACATATGCCTTAGAACCTGGCTTCTAACCAGTACCTTGGGATTAGTGCAAAAGGACCTGCCCTTCTAGAGCCGGAGATTCCGACAAGGGCAGAATCTTACATTAGCACTTCTTCCTAGCCTCAGCTCAGGCCCAAGGCCTACTGCTCCCTCCCTGCTCCCTCTGCTGTTGCTACTAGAGTTATCTCCGCAAATGCGCAACCTTTTATTAGAATGCTTTTCCCTTCTAGAACGTGAAGAACTGCAGGGCTGGGTCATAGGTTTCGTTTTTGGTTTTGTTTTTACTTTTCTCATGTCCTATTCCCCTCCCAAGCCCCTTCCCCCCAGGGCATGACCATCTTATTTGAGTCATTCTTGGCTTACTATGGAAGCAACATTAACCCCAGGGTCAAAATATATAAAGGCTGTGCATAGGAAAGGAAAGCAGGGCCTTCCAGAAACACAGGCATAACCTACAAATGTCAAGCCCAGGCCAGCGGAGGGCAGCTCTCCATCACCCTGACCTTCACTTACCCCCTGCCTCTGAATGGCATCTCTTAGCAACTGGACCACATCCTGTCCTTCCACACCACTGCACCTAAAACCTTTTGTCCAGGAAATGAGGGTGCTCTGAGGACAGAAAAGCAGGATTATTGTTCCCCAGTGGCCTTCACAAGGGCTATGGTCTCTTTCGGCTCACTGACCCCGTGTGCCCCCAACCTCACCCTGTCCAAGCCTGTCTGGTGACAAGGAAAAGAAAAATTGAACCCAAGCTTCAGACCCTGATTCTCCACGGGGTAGGCATCCAGGAATTCAGAGAGACAGCAGGCAGCAAAGTCAAAGAGCTGTGGGAACAAGATGAGTACTTAGCTCTGATCACCTGAGTCCCAGCCACACCCAACCAAGTCTCCAGCCCCCGAGGGTGCACACTGACTGCTCACCTGCTGGCCAGCACCTAGGATCACCTCTTGAGGGATCACAAACTCCCGGCTCCGGGGCTCCATACTATGTTCTTTGGTGCCTGTCAGTGTTACCCACAACACACGTAATGAAGCCCCTGTGGCCCCCAGCTCCAGCACCAGGAAGTCTCCTTGCTCTAGACAGCAAACAGGTCATAGAAAGACATACAGTTGGGCAAAGCTGCCTGCCTCCCAGAAAAGCTTCCAGAGTCTGAGAAGTCCAGTTAAAGGGACCTCAGAGATAATGGACAGAGACACGGAACTTCCCTTTCCCCAGTCAGAGCACATTCTCTGTGTCTGGTCACCCACCCGAGTCTGTGCTACCCACCAGTGCCGTGTGGTGTGGACCTCACGTATGTGGGCAACATCCGGACAGAAGGAGCAGGACTGTCCTGTCCCTTCAGTGCCTGCTCCATGGAGCAGAGAAGACTGGCTTGGATCTGCTGCAGCTGCGTCCTGGTCACCTTGAATTGTTGCAAGCATTCCTGCACCTACGAAGAAGCAAACTGACTTTGGGGAGGGAGGCATTCTTTAACTTCAGCTGGGACAGGACTGTCCTGTCCGACTTGCCCCTGTCTTCTGAGGCCCTCTGCTTCCTGGGGCTGCCTAGCATCCTGTTCCATTCTCCCCGGGCCTCACTAGTCTTCCAGTCCCCTTCCTTGCAGCTCCTCTCGCCATGGCTCGCTTGCTGTTCAAAGCCTACTCCAAGCTCTTGTGTCCTGCAAAGGTTACAAAGAAGAGAAGCCACCTGCCTCTTTGTGCTCCGTATCCTGGTGGCTTCCTCTCAGCGCCTGCATTCGTTACCATCTAGCTTTTTTTTTTTTTTAATGTAAGGTTAGGTGAAATCTCTCTCTTGCCACAATAATTGCTTTCCTGTTCTTTTAGGGCAAGAGTTCTGTAGCTGTCTCTTTGTAAGCTATCGATGAGTGAACAAATCATGAAGAAACGTTACACTCTAGGGAAGGCATCTCCCGACCTTCTCTCAGCATCTGAAGCCTAAACAAGCCCACCTCACCTCTGGAATACAGAGACCACAGAACCGAGGCTGGCCTTCCCTTTACTTGCCACTCTTCCCCACCCAGCACTACTGTAAACACAGCCCAGCATACAGTTCAAGTCCTGCGCCTGCTTGCTGCTGACTCCCCTGTGGAAGACAGAGTCAGCACTGTCTGGTACTGACGGTGACTACAGAAAAAGGAGAGGCAAGTTAGAAATGTGTGACTCGGGGAGAGTCACACTTTTAGATATGAGTGGAGGAGGTCTTAGGTCTCAATCTAAGTTGAGAAGAGAATCAGCCATCTGAAGTTTTGAAGGAAGAGAATAAAACAGGTTTTCTCCAGAGCGAGGGGATGGGGTTGGGGGAGCACTGGCCTGGGAGTGGGGGACCACTGGTCTGGGAGTGGATCAGAGTCTGATGGGAAGGCTGAGAGGGTGAGAGAAAGCAAAGGATGCACCAGCCAAGGTTCTCACCCTACCAGAAGCTCAAGGAATGGGGACATCTCAGAACCTCAGCTCTGTGAAGAAGCATTCCTTGGATGGCCCTCTTGAACATCCACCAAAAATGTCCCGCTACTGGTTGGCAGCTCAGCAGCTCCACCCTTCCCCAGCTAAGCTCTTTCTAAGGCCCAATCTCCTACGGCACAGGAATTCTATTCTAAAGATTCATTGTCCCAAACTGGACTCAAGTCTGTGAAGGAACTTAGAACACCTCTAAAGAGAGCAGGGATGAAAGGGGGAGGCAAGGAGGACTCGATCCCAACCCCTCTTTATGAAGCTCCATCAAAGTGACTCCCTAAGGAGGCAAATAATCCTAACTGGAGTCCAAGACACCCCGTTATATGCTTACATTGGGACAGATGCTTCCAGACACTAGGAGTGGTTGTTTCTGTGTTAAAAATGAGGAAGCCTTGGCTTGGAGATCATAAACCATCTACCCAACCCAAGGAGATCTGAAGGGGCAGGGTAGGTTGTGAATCAGGTTAACAGTAATGCAAAGATGTTCCCATTCTAATGAGAAGTCTGATAAAAACAAAAACAAAACTAGTATTTCATCTGAAAAGATCCAAGCATGATGAAACCAGACAAGAGAAGCAAGAGGAAGCTTCAGCCCTCACTCTGCCCAGGACCCCAGCAAGAAGCTGGTTCTGAACAGGTCTTGGGATTTGTCAACTGGATGGATGGGGTGACCTAACATTAAAAGAGATATTGCCTAATCAATGTAGTAAGTTCCAGGTTAGCCTAGGCTACATAGTGAGACCATATCTCAGCAGGGTGGGGATTGCGGTGTCCATGAAAGCGGAAAGGCAGTGCTCAGATGGGGAGTGTTTTAGCATTGAGAGATAAAACCGAGATAAAACCAAGATAAAACATGGAGTTGATTGTTCAGCGGATTAATGGTTTTCTTCCTCTTTTCCCACCTGGGTCAGAGGGTGAGATGTTCAAGAGGAGAGGCTATGAGATGAGCAAGTCCTGCCTGTAACACACACACACACATGCACACACACACACAGGTGGGGGGCGGACTTCTCCGGTAAACTCCGGTGGGCTGTAAACTATCCAGGAGAAGTAAGAAAAACCTCTCATTTCTGCCCTACTGGGGCCGTAAGTGGAGCCCTCCTTCATGAGAGTAGAGAGAAAGGCACTGGAGTAAGTGAGAAGTCCACTACGGCCTCCGTGCTGACTGTAATGAGCTTTTTTAATGAGCTTGCTGTACCTGTTAGTCTGGTTCCAACACAGTGGTCACCATTTGCACCAGTGACCTGCTCGATCCAGTAACAATGCAAAGACAGCAAGGATGCTGTGAGGACCAAACTCAGCACCACAGCCGTGGTTGACACAGAGGGGATGCTCTTCCGTAAAGGGCTTCCTTCAGTGCGCGAGACACAATTATCCTGGAGGGCCTGATTCGACACCTTCGGGTAACAAAAAGGGACTTCTACAAAGTTCTTGCAAGGGACTAAAAGATGTAGCTGGACATTGATGGCGTGTGGTGACATGTGGTGACATGTGGTGGTGTGGTGACATGTAATGATGTGTGATGGTGTGTGAGAGCATGTAATGATGTGTGGTGACATGTGATGACATGTGATGATGTGTGTTGATCACCCTCCTCCCACCTCCAGCCATGGAAAGGGATTCCAAAGTGAGCTCTGAGCACTGAGTGCTGTCCCTGGCTGTAGAACATTTGGCATCCCTGGGAAGCCCTCCGAAAAGCCACAAGGGATTTGTTAAACGGCAGGTACATACAACAAAGCACATAGATTTGGGTCTGGGTCGGTGGGGACGTCTCTGGAGGAAGGGGCATAATGAGAACCAGAGAACCAGCCATGGTGAGGTTGTCGATACTCGTTTCTGGAACCCAGCTGAACACAGAGGCAATGTTTACAGCAGGGTCTGAGGCACAGGTTGCACAAAGGAGAAAGGGTGTGTGCATGTGTGAAACTTAGTGTCAGTAAGTCAGTAAGGTCACCACAGTTGGATAAGGAACCTCGTAAGCATATGTCAGAGGAAGACAGAAAACTACAGAGACTGCAGGGAGTGGTCCAAGAGAGCTTTTGCTAGCGTTGCCTCTTGTGCAGGTCCCGTATGTCCATGGGCCTTTTTTTTTTTTTTTTTTAAATTCGAGGAGAGTACTCAAGTAAGTTATTTTCCTCTGCTTTTCTGATGAGGAAATGGAGACCCAAGAGTTATGAAATGGTTTACATAAGCACTTTCTGCTCCAGGATGTGGTAGGTGAAGACTTCTAAATCTTAGTCAAGATGAAGGGGAAGGCTGCAGATGTAGATGAGTGGTAAACACCAATCAACAAACAAAAAGTGAGAGAGAGAGAGAGAGAGAGAGAGAGAGAACTGACTTCTAGGGCAACCTCAGCTATTAAGCCCGTGCTGTGAGAATAATCCAGCACTGTAGTTCTCTCTGGTGCCGGACTGCAGTGACCCTGTGAGAAAACCATGTCAGCGAGACCGGAAAAATAGGCGAGAAAGGGACTCAAGGACACAGCTCCCAGCCTCTAGTGTGTGTGTGTGTGTGTGTGTGTGTGTGTGAATGTGTGTGTGAATACAGTATTAACATTTAGAAGGCAGGCTAAGAAGTGGTAGCATAGGTGATAAGAGGGGACGGATGCAGCCAGGGTACATAAATCATGAAAAGGGCTATAAAGCTGATTTCTGTTTCAATTCTATCACAGTTTCTTCCCTTTTTCTCCCTTCCTTTTTGTGGTGGATCAGTCTGAAAAAGTGTAATTGATAGTGAAAGTATAAGCTTTTTACAAGAGAACGCTTTATTCTATTTTTGAAGAAAATGGGGAGGGGCCATTCTGGATACATCGGCCCTCATAGGGCTGGTCCAGCATGTCTGTGGCAAGCCGGTAAGAGAAGCACATTGACAGGTGACAATCCTCAGTGTAAACTCTTTCGTCTTAAACCCAAGTCACTTGACACCTCTAAGCCCCACTCCCCACAATCAATCCACACCTCGGAGCTATTTGGAGTCTCAAAGAAAAGAGACATCAGATTGGAGATTAATAGCTTAGAAGTCTGGAGAGAGGCCACAAGGGTGCGAGCCCCGCAACCCACGTCTCTACTCATCCTATCTTTGATAGCCTTAAATAAACACAGTTCTGCTTACCAGTTCTAAGCTACCTGAGGGCCTTGGCATGCCCTCCTGTGGGCAGCTTGAGGCTCTTTCTCCAGGATGCAGACCAGAAGACCCAATGGTGGCCATGCTTCCACAATGGGTATTGATTACCTATAGGAGAGAAGGGATAGCTGGATTCAAGACTAACAGTATTGGCTCCAAGAGGCAATAACTCAAACCGACAACTTCTTTCCTTCCAAAAGGAACTAAGAATGGAGTTGTAAACCGAATGAAAAACTTCTAACCAGTAAAGATCCTTTAGCAATCCACCAGGAGGCAGGTGTTTTCCAGAAGCACGTGTAACAATGTTTCCCCTCCCACCCAATCCTAAGCCTACAGTCATGGCTGCCTTTCCTGGGTCTTCGTCAGTAAGTAACTCTTCTCCTCTGCCTTTAAATACATAGGATAGTTTCCAAGCCTCCAAGGACTGTTGTGCCTTCTTCTACATCCGTCCTTTTCACCATTAAAACTCATGTGTCGGAGCTCCCAAATCAAGCACTGACCTAAGCCAAAGCCCATCCCAGCAGTCTGTCAGATCTCACTATGGCAGTGTGGTAGTCCCTTTAAGGTAACAAAGGCAGATTCCTTTCTCCACTAGCCTACCACAAACCTCCCTCCCTCAACTTGGCTAGAAGCATCAAGAGTTTTGCTTAGAAGGGAACAGTCACTTATGACCTAACTGGGGCACCAAGAAAGAACTTTAATGCCTGTCCTCTCTTTCCTGTCCCCACAGCTACTGACTCATCCAACAGTCCCCTGATATTTCTGCATCCACATGTTGAATCTGGCCCTGCTCACACTGTCGTAGCTCCTCCTGCAGAGCAGACCTGGGTGGTGCCATTGCAGGACCCTCATGTGCCCTCACCCTAAGCTTCCTCTTGCTACTCCTTGATCCTCCAAACTCCACACGCGCTGACTCCCTGACTCCTGCTTTTTAGTCTTCACTTAAGTTGGTCCCCAGTCTGAAGGGCTGGCCTCATAACCTTGTGATGTCTGAGTCACCTCTGCACTTCAATTCCAGGACAGGGTTGGGCAAATTTAAACCTGGGGCTCATGCCTGTAAACCCAGCACTTGGTTAGCTGAGGAAGAGTATTATGAATTTAAGGAAGACCTGGGCCACATAGTGAGACCCTGTCTCAAAAGGAGGCAGTTATTTGGTAAAGCAAGAAATCTGTTTCTGACAACTCTCCCCTAAATTATATACACCACCACTTAGTTTCCAAATCGGTCAGAAGAGAACATACATTCTAGCAGTCTGTTGGAAGGATAAACTAAGGTAACTGAAGCAATTATCTTTGTTCAAGGCCCAACTAACATAATCATTCACATACTTTCCTGCTTACACACTCCACATTTACTCCACACATGCCAGACTATGAAGCTTCCTGCAAGGAACCCTCAGATCTAAACTCTAGATTCATGCATTCGGACCTATCTTTTCCTCAAGTGAGAGACATCGCCAGAAACCAGCCCAAAGTCCACTCATGTTTGAACTAAGAGCTTCTCGGCTTTCCTTATCTGAATCAGACATGGTTTCTAAGTGCTCCTTTTGAATGGTATTCTAGAGACCCCTCCTGAGGCTGGGTACCACCATCACCATCGAGGATTAATAGCACAGTCTTGCTAACCTCCATTAGCCATAGGATAAGCCAAGGGCTTGAGACGAGGCCTGTGGAAATTAGAGGAAGTGCTTACCTGGGAGATTCAAAAGTTGATCCCCTTCCTCGGGTCTCAGCACTTCTCCCAGATATGACCACAGTGGTCCTGGATTAAACTCAAAAGTGAAAACTCAGGGTCAGCTCCCCAAGCTCCACCTTCCTCTTTAGCCACCACTTAACAGAAATACACCAATTCAGGAAATTGTACTTCCCTACAAATCTGCCCTAAGAGGAGCCCAGAATGGGCAGGACCATGGTACAAACAAGCAAGATGACCACAGGAAGTTGAGGGCCCAATTAGGTTAAGGATTCCAAAATATTTTCTCGGCAACACTAGGAGCTCTGTTTGTTTTATAAACACTAAGTTTTCTTGGAAAGAAGCAGAGACCAGCCTGGAAATGAAATAGGCAACGTGTCAAAATATAGAAAGCAGAACTGTAAGAAGCGATGTAGGAACCTAAGAGGAAGGGGCATCATGACTCTGCAGGAGAGTGGGCAGGGTAAGTCGGTGAAGACATTTCACAAAGAGGAGAGGACGTATGCATCGTGGGCAGTCAAGAGTCGTGTGTGTGTGTGTGTGTGTGTGTGTGTGTTTGGCCACCCCCAATATACCAACTAAAGAAATGACTAATAATGAAAAGCAGCATGCATTAGGAAGAGGGACAGATAAAGGGGTCCAGTGACCTCCAGGATTCTCTGCAGGGTACTTAGAAGAGTTTTATGTTCAAACAGTAAAGGATTGGGGCGGTGTCAAGAGATACACATAAGTTAGCAGTCTTGATCAAGGTGTGCTTCCACCCCTCTCTCAGCTCTTACTCTGCAAGGTAGTCTGACAAGCTCTTCTGTTATCTAAAGGAGGCCATAGTTGTCATTTGAGAGGGAAGTGCTATCCTGAGAGACTTGGCTGGCTCCGGAATACAATATAACTGAAGGTTTAGCACATGACTTAACTTTGTGCCTTCAGTCTTGAAGGAAGAGATGGGTCAGAGACACACATACTTCTTGAGTAATTAGCTTGTCCATGCAGAGCAAGCAGTAGTCAGACACAATGCCTAACAAAAGCAGCTTTTAAGTGCGGGTTAGAACTCAGGCAAATTGGTGGGCACATGACTGCTACTTAGCAGTCATGTTATTATCCAGTTAGTGAAGGCCTCCACAGGACACAGGCGAGCAGAGGTGGCTCCTGTAGCAGCTTTGATGTGATCCGACCTATAAACATGGCAAATACAGCCCTACCTGCAGTTTCCAGGATACCAAGCAGACATACAGGCTATGAGAGACAGAGAATGATGCTGGAGAAGGCAAACTTACCATCATCTACAACACAGCACCATGCTGTCTGAGGCTCCGGGGTCTTAACTTCATTCAGCTGAGGGAAATTATGGAACTGAAAGTGAAAGCCTCGCTATGATTCATGACAGCGGCAGTCTCTAGGCAGCATGAGGGTATGCTCCTGGAAGTTATTTTTATGACTCCTTGTCCGTGATTCTGAAAGTCTTGTTTTCACTTCACCAGGAAGTGGGTTGCCCTGGCTGAAGTCACAGTGCCGGGGATTTTCTAAGTCAAGGCCAGGGTTCGAGGTCTGTGGACATTTGGTCCAATCCTGTCTGTAGCAGAGGCACAACACTTGCCGGTGATAGTCAAGAGGGCACAGGATGGCTACTAACCAACGAGAGAGCGCCAAAACCTGACAAGGCTCCCTCAACATTTCCTAACGCAGCCTGCAGCCACCCAGAAGGAACTGTAGAATGGAGAGAGCCCAACAGCGAAACTAGAGTATCAGTGCTGGGTGGGAAGGCCAGTCCCTCCCTCCTTTGCTCTACTCAGCCTCCAGTGCCCATTGCCAGCTCCCTGACCTCTTCCACACCCTCTATGCCTTGGATAGGACTCACGGCTCTCTCACTGGCACTGTTCTGTTTCGGCCGAGTCTCTGTTCCTATTGATTTGTCCACAATGACCTATTGATACCCCTGGCTTCCCCAACCCTTTCATCCAAGTTCAGCTAGCAGCGGTGAGAGTCCCCCACTCCCACCCTGACTCCCAAAACAAGTAGGCCCAGCTCTGATCTCAGCTGGGAACCAGTCTACCAGATTTATTAAAACCATCTGTGTTTACCTTACCTGCCCAACCGTGGATCTGTTTCTTACACACCTTATGAGCCTTGGTACCAGGTTCTGGATTCTGATATGGAGTGTCAGTTAGTTAACTTTTTACTAAATGGAGGAGCCCTCCCTCAAGCTCAACAGTCCAGGGCTTTTGAAACAGCAAGAAAGCAACCTGCTTCTGGTGCACATGTTTCCGGCACTCTTCCAGAGAGTCGACGATGTCCCATCTTCCTGATGGTAATCACCAACTTTCCATCAATCTACCACCTCCCTTCTCCTCTCCCCAACTCCTCCTGGCTAAACTCAACCTAAGGCCAAAGTTGCCTTGCCTCACAGGCAAGTAGCCCAACCCAAACTCAAATTTTCAGAGTCATCAACATGGTATCAGACAGACCTAGGTTCAAACTCAACCCATTTCCCCAACTGATTTATGGAAGATTCCTACTTTTCCGAGTTTGGGTGGGTTTTGTTGTTGTTTTTTATTACTATGTATATGATGTGAGTATGTGTGTGGGGGGAGGGTATACGCTACAGTGAACATGTGGAGGTCAAAGGACTTTGTGGATTGAACCTAGGTCATTAGGCTTGTGATACAAGTATTTTACCGGCTGAACCATCTTGCTGGTCCTGAGTCTGAGTTGTCCACGTATAAAACATGTAGTTTCTCTGTGGGGCTTGCTTTAGACCTGTACACATGGTTGACATCAGCCTTGCTACAAGTTTATTGAATACCGATTAGCCATACAGGCAATAAGACATGATGCTGGGGAGAGCACAATAGCCATGACCCTCACATGTACTGCTCAGCCAGGGTTTAGTCTCTCAGCTGTTTCTCTAAAGTAAACATGACTCGAAAGTAAAGGAACATGACTCGAAAGGTCCAGCTTATGTCACACTCATGACAAGTGCTGCCAGACTCCTTGGGTCTACTTCTGGGTGACCCAATGTTTATCTTTGCCTTGTTTGAGACTGGTTCTTTCTACATAGTCCTGGATGTCCTAGAACTCACCATGGAAATCAGACTGGCCTTGAACTTACGAGACCCACCTGCCTCTGCCTCCTCAAGGTGTGTGCCAATATGCTTAGTTTTCTCTTTTTAAGTAGACTCAAGTTGTTTACTTCCAGGTTGGGTTCCCCAGAATCAGACCTAACCACAGACTGTTCCAAACAGGGCTGGGATTAGGGTGATGGAAGTGAGCTAGAATGCTGACTTAGAGTCCTCTCAGACTCATGCCAGTGATAACCCTGCACTTACATGGACCCAAGAGTATGGGCCTTGTCCCTAGTCACGAGGAGACTTGGATGTAAGTTAGCAGGAGACAGGCAAGACAGTACACATGTCTAAGCTGTTATGGGCACTATGGTGATCCTTGAGAATATGGTAGAATGTGCCTCAGTTGTTCTGAGACATGAAGAAATGGGTTACTTGTACACTCCAACTTCTATTTTCACTGGCCAAGGGCTGCAGCAGAGCACTATGAGCTCTTGGCCCTTCTAGCTTGTGCCAACATAAGTCAAGGGATAGACACCTTCTCACACAGGTACAAGTATCTGCAATGAAACCCTTTGAGGAGAGCCTGTAGAAGGGTAAGAGGCCAGGAAGTGGGCCAGGCACAACTTGTGACAGAAGGCTCTTGTCACAAAAGAACACTCTTGTGACAAAAGAACACAACTATGATGATGTTAGGCAAAAGTCTCTCCTTCCCCCAGTTGACAGCAATAGCTTAAGTTCCTGGAGCTTTAACATTCTCCATGAGCTGGCAATCTTTGGGTCTCAGGTAGATCCCCAGTGTGCTCACTCCTTAGAGAGATGTCTCTTCTTGCAGCTGTAGGCCATCTCTCTGGCCCTTCCACCCCTCACTGCAATACTTATGACATACAAAGGCACAGTAATGTTAGTAACAGTTGCTGCCACTACACATTTGCAGCAAATGTTTGACTCTTTATAAACGTTTTGCCAATCCTTAAAACACTAAGAATTTTTTTTCTTATTTTACAGACAAGTAAACTAAGTCCCAGAGAGTTTAACCTGTATCAGAAGTAGGATGAAGCCCTAAGTCGATCTGGCATGACCTTCACCAATCTCTCCACTCTGTCTAATGCACCTCCTGTCAGATTACAGAAAGGAGAGACTAAGATTGCTGTGGTGGTTTCAATATGCTTGGACCAGGGAGTGGCATTATTAGGTGTGTCCTTGTTGGAGGAGGTGTAGCCTTGTTGGAGGAAGTGTGTCACTGAGGATGGGCTTTGAGACCTTCCTTCTAGCTGCTTGGAAGACAGACTGCTCCTGGCTACCTTTGGATGAAGATGTAGAACTCTCAGCTCCTCCAGCACCATGCTGCCTGGATGCTGCCATGCTTTCTGCCATGATAATGGATGAATGAATGAATGCCATCATTCAGAGACTGTAAGTCAGCCCCAATTAAATGTTGTCTTTTTTAAGAGTTGCCTTGGTCATGGTGTCTGTTCAGAGCAATGGAAACCCTAACTAAGACATCTAGATAAACAAGCAGCCCCACTGAAGACAGCTGTGGATGTCTGGGGTCTTTTCTCTCCTTGAGTCCTATGTAGGCTGAGAGTTCCTGGTTCAGCTAATCCACACCTTTAGCCAATGGCCCACATTCCCTACAGCCTGCTCCTTTTAGAAGCAGCTCTTTCCCTGATGTCATATGATGGACTATAACATTTATGGAGATCTCTCTCCTAAATGAGCACCTAATGAGAGACATGCAAGTGAATTATCCTGATGGGATAGATCTGGTACAGTCTCCCTCAGAAGGAAAAACAAAACAATACTGACACCAAAAGTACAGCCTTTTCCTTGGAAATGAAGAATCCTTAACTGTGGCCTCACTGCCATGGACACAGAGGGCTGTGACTTCTTCCTCTTGAACCTCATCTGAAAGTTGGTTATGATGAGTTTCTGTGAGGATCAAATGATAATATATATATTGGCTGGGCTACAGTGATTGATCAAAACTTAAGAAATATGTGTGATACTGGTCAGTGTCAACATCATCCAAGAACAAGATGTTACCTTTGGTAGAAATAGGTATTTTCCAACTTGACTATAACTCAAAAGAGTTTGTGTGCCTCAATGTCTGTGCAGGCAGGGTCTTCAAATCCAGCTATCTGAATTTCCCAGTGTGGTACACATCTCATTTTCATTTTTAAAATAAAAGACAGCTTTAGATATGACAAATCAGAAGTGAGGCATCTGAGTTATATGTTAATTTATCCTGGTCTACGATCCTGCACTGGTCAACACCTACTTCCTATGTCTCTTTCATTAAGCTGTCCATCAGCTGGGGTCAAGGCTGGCTTTCCGCAGCCTTGTTTGATTGTCCCCCCTGGGTAACTACTTCTCTATCTGAGTGTCTCGCTCTGGTGGCCCTAAGGATGGCCCACATCTCTATCCTGCACTGGGACAGACAACACTGCAGAGACTGTGTACTGCTCTAGCACTACCACCAACACAGAAGCTGCCACCGCCATGTACCCTCTGGCAGCTAAACAAACAGTTGTGGTTTAAATAGACAACTGTGCCTGGTACTCCCACTGGTAAATCTATTTTAATAACAAGAGTGTTCACTTAAAAATTCCAGGGGAAGAACAAGAAGTCACACTTCTATTAAGGTCCTAGGTCCTAGGTGAGAAGTCTTTTTTTTTTTTGG